GACCAAATTAAGCATTTAACCATTATATTATGTCTTGACTTATATATTAAAAAAGTTAATATATACTAAGCCAAACTAATTAAATTTTGGTAAGCTTTTTTTGAATTCTTTAATTTAATTAAATTGTCTTAAATTTAACAAATGATGTGAATAAACATCTCTCAACATAACTCTGTTTAACGTGATTAAGATGTGGCAGTTCATGGTGCTCTTTAGATAACGACATAACGTGGCTCTGAAACATTTCGTGTGCCATAGTTATTAATGAGACAGACGAGTTGTTGGGGCAAAACAATGAAAAAAATTGGGCCATGCCTAGAGCTGGCAATTTTTTATTCAACCCGTTAATCCGTCCATTACTCGTTCATTTAAAATGGGTTAAGATCATATATTTATGGCTCGTGACCCGTTAATGACCCGTTAAGAGAACTCGACGAGTCACGGGTCTATAACAGGTTAACCTATCGGATTAACGAGTTTGACCCGTTTACTTGTCTAAAAATTTAAAATTTTTTAATTTATTATTTATTTATTTTGTGTTCCAATTCTCAATCCCACCTAAACCTTTAATAATTGACTAATATTCACTAATTAACTAATTGATTCTCTTGATTCATCATCTTCTAGAAGTAAAAATAATCACACTCTACTCATAACTCACCTCTTGACCTTTTTTATTCTTGCTTGCCATAATACTCTCGAAGACTCTAACTCTTTAAACTTCAAACTCTTCTCATATTCTTCAACCTCCATAGTTCATACAGTCTTTGACTTTCAAGTTTTGACTCCACATTTCTTTTTAGTCTTTAACATTATCTCAAACTTGGATCTTAATCTTATCGAGTCACCGTTGCGTTCACTCAGCCCTTTCTTTTTTTCTATTATGAGTCCGACAAGTGCTCTTTTTGTCACCAACTTTTCTCTCTAAAGACTTCAAGGTAAGTTGTTCACTTATTTATGCTTTTTAGTCTTCTTTCCATTCCAAGTAACAATTTTACTTGATTTTCTCCTTTGCTTACTTAGATGCATTTAATTAATGATTCTTTGAAAGCAATGACCAAAACAAATATGTTGCAATGGGGTTTATGTTTTTTGGTTGTCATGCTACTACTGTTTTTTTTTTTTTGCTATTGAGATTTATAAGTGTAGTGTTCTTGAATTTGATTAGCGTTGTTCTTTAAAGGGAAATAAAGAAGGTAATTTTGAGGAACTATAAATATGTATATATTAAATTAATGGAAAAAAATTATTTTTATAAGATGTTGAATTTTTTTAAAAAATCTTTTGAATAATTTTTTTTGAATGATAATAGGTACAAATTATAGAGAAAAAAAAAA